CTCGCCGCGCTGAAATGTTTTGTTGTGGTCCGAGAAAACACAAGCGTTTCGGGCGAATGGCTGGTGGTGGGCGCTGTGGCGGTGGTTCTGTCTTTTTTTCTCTTCCTCTTTCGCTTTGCTTCTGTTACCATTGATGCTGCGCCACCACGCCCCGCCACGCTCCGCCGGCGATTTCACAGCAACGCGACGGCGGCGCCCCGCTACGCCCCGCCATCTCCGCCCTGGGGCTGCACCAATCCGACGCGGGCACCGCCGGGGCGGCAGGCGGCAGTAGCCGTGGATGATCGGGACCGAAGCGGAGCGACCAGAACCATGGCGTTGGTCGCGACCGACAGCCGGAGCACTGGGACTCTAAAGCGTCAAAAACGTGTCACCATGTCAATATCGTTGTGTGAACATCGTTTTATCATATTATGCAACAGCAATTATTTTGTTCGTTATATTCAAACTAATGTTGCAATTCGATTTGCTCGAGCGCATGAGTGCACTGGTTGAGATGGCCCCTATGACGGGTTGGAGGTCCGGATTTGTCTCTCGAGTTCTCTCGCGTCGCCGGAACAACGAAGTCGGCGGCGGCTCATAGCGGAGGCGACATTCCCCCCCAATGTCACGCATACCGACCCGGTGTCGAAGAGGAGCGGGGTAAAAAAGGAAAAGGAAAAGGAAGGAAGAAAGAAAGAACGCTCGCGACCGCAAAGCGGCGGCGTGGCGCGGCGTGGCGCGGCGTAGCGGCGGGAAGCGTTTTCAGAACGGAGCGCCGCCGCGGCGCCTCCACTTTCCTCCCCTTCACCCTCTCTCCCTCTCCGCATCATTTGACTCTCGCGAAATGTGCTGCTCCGCCTCGCCCCGCTTCATCGCCACCTGCCGAGCGACGCGCGCGTTTTATGCTTTGCGTGGGGTCTTCGTCCCGCCCCGCCCCCCACCCCTCCAGACAGACGGTCAGACCGGGCGGAAAGACGCCGACGCCGGGGAGTCGTGCGAAACTTTGTCTGACCCTCCCGGAACACGTTCTGCTGCCATCGGTCCCTCATGCCACCTTCTGAATCATTTGATGATCTGTCGATGATCCGAATAAGTCCAGTAGCATCGCATCGCGCTGCGATGGGCTGAGCAGCCGGACCCCGAGGAACAAAGCGAGCGAGAGGCGGAGAGGAAAGAAGGGGAAGAGGGAGAAGGCGGAGCGTCGGCCGTCCATCCCCGAGCACTTTGTCGCCCGGGGCGTCCGAGGAGGGCGTCAGCGTCGTCGGGGGCGGCGCAGGGGAGGGCCCACCGCGTCCCCGCCGGGGGCGCGCAGGGCCGGGGCGTGGCGGCCGGACAGGCGGCCGCCTGTGCCTGTTCCAGGTAAAGCTGCCCTGGAAAAAGAAATAAAATGGCCAATAATACCCGTCATTTCTATGCCGGTCCTCATCCTTGCTGGCCCTCCTGCTGTTGCGGCCACACGGGAACAACAAAATAAAAGTAACCTCAAAATGGGAAGGCTGCGCAATTTCTCCTTTGGTCCTCCGTATTTTCTCCATTTGCTCAAAACACACGGTGATCAAATGACCAAACCTGACATCCGGCCGAGTCCGTGGGGATCGCAGGGCGCCGCTGCCGGCGTGCTGGAGGACCCGTGTCGATACATCGAACCGCCCCGCGTGCCGATACATTGAATCGTGTCGATACATTGCGATACAAGTTGCCGCAGCAGCAGTGCGGCGAGTGGTCCCTGCTGCCTGCATGCCATGGCGAAGCATGATGCAAGCGCGCCTTGAATTCGCCTTCCCCTCGTAGTGTGAGTGTGTGAGTGTGTGAGTGCGAGAGGGGGGGGGGG